GTAGAAAGAAAGAGAAGAAGAGAGAGAAGGGAAGAAGAAAAGGAAAGGTGGTATTAAAATAAAGGAAGGAGATGGTAGAAGAGCAGACCCGAACAACTAATTAGCAAATGGAAGTTAAAGAAAATAGATGAATGAATAATGATTAATGATGGACAAAAGACTGTACATATGAATATGTTGATAAAAAATAAAAATAAAAAACTTTTTTAAAAAAAGGAAGAGGAAGAAGAAAGAAAAGGAGAGGGAGAAGAAGGAGAAGGAAAGGGAGAGGGAGAGGGAGAGGAGGGAGAGGAGGGAGAGGACAAGGAAGAGGAAGGGGAAGGAGAAGGGGAAGGAGAAGGAGAAGGAGAAAGTTGCATTCTCAGCGGTCCCTGGGCTTGATAGTTTTCTTGCAGACATCTCAGGACCCAACTATGGAACATCATCAGTGATAGAAGGGAGTGATGTTTGAAAAGGAGGAGGAGAAGGAGGAAAAGGAAGACTGTGGGGTCCTTGATGATCTCTGAGCTTGGTAATTTTCTTGCAGATGTTTCATTACCCAGTTAGGGAATACCATCAGTGCTGGAGGAGGAGGAGGAGGAGGAGGAGGAGGAGGAGGAGGAGGAGGAGGAGGAGGAGGAGGAGGAAGAAGACTGTGGAGTCCTTGGTGCTCTCTGAGCTGGGTGGTTTTCTTGCAAACGTTTCATGACCAGACTAGGGAACATGAGCAATACTAAGGAAGGAAGGACCTCCCTCCCCCACTAGCGCTACCACTGATGATGTTCCCTAGTTGGGTCACGAAACGTCTGCAAGAAAACCAGATAGAAAGGTAGGAAAAACACATAAATAAAGACATTAAATTAACTGCCCACCACCAGGGTAACAAGATATAGTCTCCTTTAATTGTGTAGATTTTTTTTTAAAGATGGCCATGATCAAGAAATGATTTGCCACGGTTACTTTCAGGATATTCTCCCAACTGTTCAGCCTAAAGCTTTCCTTGTGGTGCCCCATCCGAGGACTAAAACCAGTTTCTTTGCTTTTCCACATCAAGAAAGACATGCTGGCTGGGGAATTCTGGGAGTTGAAGTCCACCCGTCTTAAACGCTGGCAAGGTTTAAGAAACAAATTGCAGATAGCATCTTTAAACACACTTAATCTGGTGTTTAGTCTAGTCTGGACGAACGTACAAAATTCCCCATTACCGCATCCTTAATTAAAGCAAGCGATTGGAGAACAGGTCCATGCAAAATCACACCGAGTGGGTTAACAATGCTTGTGTTTTATTACTGAGTGGGTGGCTGGGGAATTCTGGGAGTTGAAGTCCAAACAACTTCACAGTTTTCTCTCTAAGCAAACAGGATGGGGAAATGGGGAACTTCCAGTTTCCTGCGGATTGTGACTCACACCCTGGCACAACACTGCTCTGCCTTTAGCTATCTAGCCATTTAAGGCTGGCAATCATCCTCCAACAGGGCCACGCTTGCAACTTCAACGGCAAAGAAATTGGCAACCGGATTGCCAACTGACCAGATGTGCTTTACTGCTATGTTTAATTCGATTTGCAGAAGAAAGCAAAATTTGATACGATTTGGAGACCTCGGCCCTGGCTGGCAGGCAGGCAAACGAACCCTTGCTCTTTAAAGAGCTAGAAACACAGAACCATCAAGATAGGCAGTCCTCAACTTACAACAGTTCGTTTAGTGACCGTTCAAAGTTACAGCGGTGCTGGAAAAAAACTTACGACCATTTTCCACACTTACGACCATTGCAGCATCCCCGTGATCAATGATCAAAATTCAAACCCTTGGCAATTATTCGATTTAGAATAACAGAGTCGGAAGGGGCCTTGGAGGTCTTCTAGTCCAACCCCCTGCCCAGGCAGGAAACCCTACACCACTTCAGACAAATGGTTATCCAACATCTTCTTTAAAATTTCCAGTGTTGGAGCCTTCACAACTTCTGGAGGCAAGTTGTTCCACTGATTCATTGTTCTAATTGCTCTAACTGATTCATATTTATGACGGTTGCATTTTCCCGGGGTCACGTGATCCACGTTTGCAACCTTCTGACGAGCCAAATCCATGGGAAAGCCAGACTCACTTAACGACCAGACTCACTTAATGTTACTTAACAACTGCAGTGACTCATTTTACCACTATGGCAAGAAAAGTTGTAAAACGGAACTAAACTTACTTAAATGTTTCATTAGTGGCAGGAATTTGGGGCTCAGTTATGGTCATAAGTAGAGGACTACTTTATTTGGGTTTGCAGCAGGCGAACTCTCTCTTTAAAGGGCCAGAAACAGAGAACCATCAATCAAGAGGAAATTATAATTCATTTTTAATTTTGGAAAGCCTGGTCCAGCTCAGACAAATTCTTTTCCTCTGCAGCCAGTCCCACTCCCCAAAATCTTCTTTAGTCTGAAGAAGACTGAAATAAACTTGCTTTTAAAAAAATCTTTCCTGTCCATTCCTTAAAAAGACAGCGGTTTTAAATCAAAGTTTCTTTCTCTCTTTTTTGTTAATCTTTAAAATAAAACGGTGCTTTCAAATACGATGACTTTTTTTTCTTTCCCTTTTAAAATGTGGTGCCTCTCTTACTGGTCTGGCTGGATAGGAAACATGTAAGTGAATCCCTGCCTTCCGTATTGTACAATTACAGGCAGTCCTCGACATATGAGCCTTGATAGTACAGTGGTCTACACACACTGTGATTAACACCAGCTGCCTGCAATTACTGCAGGTTCGAATCTCGCCAAGGCTCAAGGTTGACTCAGCCTTCCATCCTTTCTAGGGTAGGTAAATTGAGGACCCAGTTTGTGGGGGCAATAAGCTGACTTTGTATAAATATACAAAAGGATGAAGGCTATTGCTTAACGCATTGTAAGCCGCCCTGAGTCTCCGGAGAAGGGCGGCATATAAATCAAATTTTAAAAAAAAAACAAAAAAAAAACGACCACAACCGAGCCCCAAATTTTTGTCCTTGCTAAGCGAGACGGTTGTTAAGTGAGCTTTGCCTCCATTTTACCACCAGTCTTTCTGCAATCGTTAAGGGAATCGGTGCGGTTGTTAAATGAGTCACACGGTTGTTAAGTGAACCCGGCTCCCCCATGGACATTGCTGGACAGAACATCGCAAAAGGGGACCGTGGGACATTGCGACCGTCATAAATATGAGTCAGCGGCCAAAGCCTTTGAACATGGGACCAGGGGATGCTGCAATGGTCGTAAGAGTGAAAAACGATCCCAAGTCACTTTTTCCAGTGCTGTCGTAACTTGGAACGGTCATTAAATGAATGGTCATAAATCGAGGACTTTTTTTTTTTTTTTTTTTCCCCTAGCACATTCTGCAGTAAAGCTAAATATCTTGGATCTTCCTTGGCTGTGTTCACACAACATACTTAAACTGACGAGTGCATTAAACCCTTTTCTGGATTTGCAACCAGCAGAAATCAAGTCCAAACTGATTTGAGCTTAGGAAAGTTAACAACAGCAGACAGGTAGTCCTCGACCTACGACCACAATGGAGCCCACCATTTCTGTTATTAAGTGAGACATTTGTTCAGTGAGTTTGGCCCCCGTTTTACGACCTTCCTCGCCTCGGTTGTTAAAACGTATATCACTGCGGCTGATAAGGGAGTAACCCGGTTGTTAAGTGAATCGGGCTTCCCCCATTGACGTTGCTTTGTCAGAAGGTCGCAAAACCTGACACCAAGACCGTCATAAATATGAATCAGCTGCCAAGTGTTTGAGTTTTGATCACCTGATCATGGGGCTGTTGCAAAGGTCATTACTGTGAAAAGCGGTCATAAGTCACTTTTTCCCAGTGCCGTCGTAACTTTGAACCATCACTAAATGAACTGTTGCAAGTCAAGGACTACCTGAACTTCTTTCACTCATTGGTGTAACAGTGTGAGTGTGCAAAGACCACCAAACTTTGCACTGTAAACTGATGACGTGGCTTGTTTCAGCCTTAGGACCTTCCTTACGTAGGCAATCCTCAAGTTACAACTGTTCGAAGTTAGAACAGAAGTGAAAAAAGCCACAAAGTACCAGTCCTCACACTTACGACCATCTTCAGCATTTCCCCCCCCCGCAGTCACATGATCAAAATTTGGGCCCTTGGCAACCGGCATGCATTTACGACAGTTGCAACATCCCGTCGCTCTGTGATCCCCATTTGTGACTTCCCAGCAAAGTCAGATTCGCTTAACGACTGCATGATTCACTTAACAACCATAGCAATACAGTTAACAACTGCGGCCAAAACCATCGTAAAATGAGGCGCAACTCACTGAACAGCTGCCTCGCTGAGCGATGGAAATTTGGGCTCAAAGGTGGCCATGAAGATTCAGTTAATGACCACATAATTCACTTAACGACAGCAGCGGTTCGCTTCACCACAGGTTGTAAAATCGAGCGCGACTCGACCTTTCTGGCCACCGTTGTTAAGTGAGTCACTGCAGTTGATAAGTTAATAACGCTCAATACTTAATGACCGTCTTGCTTAGCGATGGAAATTCTGGACCCAATTTGTGGTCATAAGTCGAGGACCGAAAGCAGAGGAAATTTAGATTTCTGCTCCCATCGATCCCAACGGACAAAACCCTTCCTTCCTCCTTGCTTTAACGCACTGCCACAAACTACAGCATGAGAAAACCATCGCTCCAAAAGTGGCCAAGCGTTTTAAGCTCCTCCAACCCCAATCTCTGGGGAGGACTGTCACCCCCGTTCCCATGATCTCATTCCTCCCAAAACAGCCAGCCCCAAAATAAACACACAGGCAACGAAACGATCGGGGATAAAATTGCCTCTGACCCTACGCAGAATGCCCCTTCTTCAACAACCCTGGGATTAAAAAATAATCACCCCCAAAAACGGCAAAAATTCAATTTTTTTTTTCTGGCTGGCATTTAATATTTAACAATTTCCTTGTCAATTTTTTTTTTTTTTTGCCAAAGGCCGGCGTACTAAGGGTTCAAATGTCCCCTCTCTGCCCACCCACCCCTTAGTATCCACATTGCAAGAAGCTGGTTAGGTTGCAATGCTGGGTTTGGAAAGCTGGAATCCAAGGCGGGGCAGGATTCGGCCATCGGTGCGTTTCTGCCTTTCGCCTCGGGTTTGCGCTCCTGCCGAGGTCCACGAAGCCACGGATTCAGTGGAGAAGGAAGGGCCTTTTATTCCGATACACTAAAAACTGCGGTTTGATCAATCTGATGGGATAAAAATGCAGAGCTGGGGAGGACTCAACACAGCCTTCCCCTATTAGTTCTATCTCCAGATTTCCTCGAGTTCCTAATCTCCGGGGCCTTGATGGGGGCGACAGGACCCGTAATTCCTCCCCGTCACTCAAAAAGGAACATACCCGGAGTCCTGTAGAGGCAGTGGGGCAGCCCCAGCTGATAACTGCTCCCCCCTTGGCGGGAAAAGGGGCTCCCGGGCCAGGCTTCCTGTTCCCCCGGCAGCTGCACGAAGGACGGGGGCTGGATGGGCGCCGCAGAATTGGCAGCGGGGGGCGAGGTCAGAAGGTGTTCCAAAGTGGGGCCCCGCATATTTTCGTTGACGCAGAAATTCAAGGCCTGCAGACGGCACTGGTAACCCCCACCCCGAGATTCGAGATTGGAGTAGCCGAAGATGGGAACGACCGAAGCTTTGGCATAACCTTCGTTGCCGTCGACGGTGGGGAGGCCGCTGGGCGATGGATGCTGCCTGTGGGTGGGCTGAGACGCTTTGCCGGGCCCCATAAGAGCCGGGAAGTTGGGTGCAAGCTGGCCAAACGCTTGGGGGACCCCCTTGCCATCCTGCCCAGGCTTCGGTGGCCCCTGGGAAGGACGAGAGCTGTTCTGCAGGTTTCCATTTATCTCTGGGCTGGATCGGGAGGGCAGCCTCTCCGCAAGAGGGACCAGGGGGGCAACCTCAAGGTCATCCAGAAGGGCCCCTTTCACCTGGTAATTATTTCCCGGGGAACAGAATCCTGATGGCTGGCTGTAGAGCCCAGCTTTGGGGCTCGGGACCCCGTGCAGATGAAAACACGGCATCTTGGCTCCCGAGGGGTTGATCTTGGCACAGGGCTGACTCCGGGGGCTGAGGAGCTCCGGGCAAGGCAGGATTGGATCCTCACCCTCCTGCCCACCCATGAATGGATTTAGGGGCAAGACCCCCTCAGGCCCTGGCACTGCCCGGCTGGAACTGTGGCCCTGCTCGGAGGCATCTGCTATCGGTGAGCCGTCTTCCATCTTGACTGCCTTTCCTGGCAATCTCTGGCCACTCGGCTGGCCCCTGCCACCCCGGGGCCCCTTCTTGGGCCCTTGGCCGTCCCCTGTGGCCCTGGACGGACCTCTCTTACGGGTGAAACGCTGCCGACGTCTCAGGAAGGAGCCGTTCTGGAACATGTTGTGGCACTCGGGGTCCAGCATCCAAAAATTCCCTTTGCCCGGTTTCTTGTGGTCCCGGGACACTTTGACGAAGCAGTCGTTGAGCGAGAGGTTGTGGCGGATGGAATTCTGCCAGCCTTGCTTGTTGTCTCGGTAGTAGTCGAACCGGGAGGTGATGAACCGGTAGATGCCGCTCAAGGGCAGCCTCTGATCCGGACTGCTCTGGATGGCCATGGCGATCAGCGCGATGTAGCTGTAAGGGGGCTTGGTGCCCTCGGAGGACGGCAAGCGGGCGCCCACGCAGGATTCCGGGCCGTAGGCTGGGGGTCCCGCGGACGGAGCTCCACCCGCGGCGCCCGCTTCGCCCACGCGGGACAGGACCGGCCGTGGAGAGCCTGCAAAGTCCAGCTGCATCGTCCTTTGGCTGCCCGGACGGTCCCTTCGCCGGGTTTAAATTGCGCTGCGGTCCAGCCTCTGGGCTGCGCCGGGGGAAGGCGCTGGACGGCCCCACCTCCTCCCACGGGTGGGGAAAGCCGAGGCAGACGCGCGGGGCTGGCTTTCTCAGCCCACGGGGCCGGCCGAGCGGCTGGAGAAGGGTCATCTTTGGAGCGAACCCCCCCTCCAGGTGGGGAGAGAAGAGCCGGAGGGAGAAGGGAAAAACCCACGAAGGACGCGGGATGCTGGATTCCCAAGACCAGCGAAACACGTAGAAACGCGTCGACAGACAGACGGACACGGACACACGGACACTCAATGGGATCTGGGCGCTGCCCTTTGGGGCTTCTTCCCCAGGTCCAGCAAGATTTTGGAAACGCGCGCGAGCCCACGCAGGCACACCAACCAACCAACCGACCGACCGACTCCGAGTTGGGCAAGAGCAAATCGAAGGGTTACAACGAGCCAGATGCTACTTTCCGAAAATCAAGCGGGGTGTTTAAAACACGCGCTCGCCTGCGCTCACACGCAGGCACACCCGTGGGTGCTTCAACGCTGGAAGCGGGAAAGCCATCTTGTCAGAAGTGATACAGGATCTCCTGTTTGGGCAGGGGGTTGGACTAGATGACCTGCAAAGGTCCCTTCCAACTCCGTTCTTCTCTTCTCTTCTCTTCTCTTCTCTTCTCTTCTCTTCTCTTCTCTTCTCTTCTCTTCTCTTCTCTTCTCTTTCCTCTCCTCTCCTCTCCTCTCTTCTCTTCTCTTCTCTTCTCTTCTTCTCTTCTCTTCTCTTCTCTCTTCTCTCCTCTTCTCTCTTCTCTCCTCTTCCGTATTCTACTCTCCTCTCTCCTCTCCTCTCCTCTCCTCTCCTTTTCCCTTCCCTTCCCTTCCATTAATTCCATTCCATTCTCTATTCTATTCTATTCTATTCATTCCATTCCATTCCATTCCCTTCTCTTCTCTTCTCTTCTCTTCTCTTCTCTTCTCTTCTCTTCTCTTCTCTTCTCTTCTCTTCTCTTCTCTTCTCTTCTCTTCTCCTCTTCTCTTCCATTCCATTCCATTTTCTATTCTATTCTATTCTATTCTATTCTATTCTATTCTATTCTATTCTATTAATTCCATTCCATTCCATTCCATTCTCTCTTCTTCTCTTCTCTTCTCTTCTCTTCTCTCTTCTTCTCTTCTCTTCTCTTCTCTTCTCTTCTCTTCTCTTTCTTCTCTTCTCCTCTTCTCTTCCATTCCATTCCATTTTCTATTCTATTCTATTCTATTCTATTCTATTCTATTCTATTCTATTCTATTAATTCCATTCCATTCCATTCCATTCTCTCTTCTTTCTTCTCTCTCTTCTCTTCTCTCTCTTTCTTCTCTTCTCTTCTCTTCTCTTCTTCTCTTCTCTTCTCTTCTCTTCTCTTCTCTTCCCTTCCATTCCATTCATTCCATTCCATTTTCTATTCTATTCTATCTATTCTATTCTATTCTATTTCTATTCTATTCTATTCTATTCTATTCTATTCTATTCTATTCTATTCTATTCTTTTCTATTCTATTCTATTCTATTCCATTCCATTCCATTCCATTCCATTCCATTTTCTATTCTATTTTATTCTATTCTATTCTATTCTATTTATAGCAACCCATCTTATAACCAACTCTACGCTGCTCCCAAATCGAAAGTAAAAACAAAAAACATGATAAAACTATAAAACAGCAATACATGTATTAAAAACAATGAAAAATGTGGCCTCTGTAACAGGCCCTGTCCTGCATATGAAATTGAAGTGTCCAGTGTCTTTTGCCAGCAAGACAAGAAAAAAACCTGAAATCCTCAAGAAGTTGAAACCATCAGGAAGAACGAGGAAAAGAGCCTGGAGAAAAATAGCCACGGCTTCCCTCTACTGGAAGATCCCATAAATAAGCTTAAATCCAAAATTTAGATGGCTAGCTTGCATCTATCACCACCTGTCTGCCTATCTGTCTATCTATCTATTACTTCTTTTATTTCAATGTATCATGATCTATATCATCTACCTATTTCTTATCTATCTACTGTATTTTCCTGAAAATAAAACCCTGTCTTATATTTTTTTGAACCCTGAAATAAGTGCTTGGCCTTATTGCCATGTGCTCAAAAGCCCGATTGGGTTTATTATAAAGGAACGTCTTATTTTTGGGGAAACAGGGTATCTATCTATCTATCTATCTATCTATCTATCTATCTATCTATCCATCCATCCATCCATCCATCCATCCATCCATCCAACTATATCTATCTATCTATCTATCTATCTATCTATCTATCTATCTATCTATCTATCATCTATCTATCTATCATCTCATATATATATTGTTGCAATATTTTCAGGATCAGACTCAATAATATTAGTAAGAGTTAAAGGTTTAAATATATTTCCTTTTATTTACAATAGGCATTCTATATTCACTGAATATTCACAGATAGAAGCGAGGAAAAGGGTGTAGGTGGCTCCTTATATATACAATGGGTGGAGCTATAAGTGGGAGTGGTGAATTATGAATACATTAAGAAGTGAAGAATAAGTTAACCCCTGATACCCCGTTCATATATTATTTACACATTAGAGAATAAGGCATTTACATCTGACAAATCCCCCTCTAAATGCCGATTCGTTATACAACACCAATTACACTCAGATTCAGGACAATACAATACATACAACTTAGAAGTTAAATATTTGTGTTGCTTAGAAGGTAAAGGCTTTGTCAATATGTCAGCTAATTGTTCTGAGGTATCACAATGCACTGCTTTAATAAATCCATCCTGAGATAATTGTCTCACATGTTTAAATTTTATATCTATATGTCTGGACCTTTGTCCAATGGCATCAGATCTAGATATTTCAATGGCTGCTTTATTATCTTCATGCATAACAAAAGGCAAAACAGGTTTTTTCCAAACATCTGAAATTAAATCATTAAACCATACAAGGTTATTTGCAGCTTTGGATAAACAAACATATTCCGCTTCTGTCGTTGAAGTGGCCACTAGTTCTTGTTTACCAGTGTACCAGTAAACTGGACAGTCATTTAAGAGAAATATATAACCAGATGTACTTTTTCTACATGAGGTGTCTCCAGCCCAGTCTGCATCTGCATAACATGTAAGCTTTGGTTCTTTATTGTCTTTAGGTTCTAATATTAAGCAAAAGTCTAGTGTACTTTTCAGATATCTTAAAATTCTTTTAACAGCTTCCCAGTGATACATTGTTGGTTTGCTGACATGTCTGGATAATAGATTGAGTGGTAAGGGGATATCTGGTCTAGTCCAATTAGATATATAAAGAAGTGAACCTATGATTGATCTATAAAATGTGTTATCCTTGAATTCGGGGGAAGATTCATCAGTATTTCTTAGAAAATCAGTTTGCATAGGAGTATCACAAGGTTTGGCATTGTTTAAATTGCATTTATTTAAAAGTTCTACAATCTTATCTCTCTGAGTAAGTTTGAATCCCCTTCTAGTCTTATTAATTTGGACACCAAGATATTTGTTTACTTTACCTAGAGATTTTAACGAGAAATGTTCATTTAGTTTGGTTACAAAGGTTTCTCTTCTCTCTTTATGTTTTCCTATGTATAAAATGTCATCCACATAAATCAATACAAATTCAATGTAATCATCATCCTTTTTGACAAAAAAGCAGTTATCAGCAGTAGTAGCGTTGAAGTCCATGGTTCTAAGTACTTTCACTAAACAATCATACCATCGTTTACCAGATTGTTTTAACCTGTATAAACTCTTGTTTAACAACCAAATTTCATTTTTGTTTGTGTATTGACTGTGAGGTGCTCTTACGTATATTTCTTTATCTAGTTTAGCGTGTAGATACGCAGTCTGTATGTCGTATTGAAATACATCAAGGTTGAGTGCTGATGCTACCACTAGAGCTGTTTTGACACTCTCTGTTCTTACTGTGGGGGAATACGTGTCAGTATAGTCCTCCGGATATTTCTGTGCATAACCTTGTGCAACTAGTCTAGCTTTGTATAGAGTATTGCCTCCCTCTAAGTTCTTAATTTTATATATCCACCTGGTACCAATAATTGTTTTATCCTTAGGTGCAATTGCAGGTGTAAATACATTTAATCCTTGTAAACTTTCCATCTCTTTTTTCATCGCTAATTCCCATTTTTCCTTTTCTTCACGAGGGAGTTTTAACACTTCCTCATATGTATTGGGTGTTGTTGGCTCACCATCCATATGCATTATGTAATCCTTGTATTTATTTGGCATTTGATTTCTGGTGTTTCTAATGGTTTTTTCAGGTTTACTATCGTTATCATGCAAATATCTTGCTTCCTTTTTTGTTAATGTGTCTGTCTTAATTTTGTGTTGGCTATTTGTCCAAATTTTGGTTTTGTTCTTATTTTTGTTGGTATTTTGCTTTTCTATGATCCCTTCTTCATGAGATTTTGTACCTTTATATTTATTTGGAAATATTTCATTAAGATGTAATTTAGACCAGTTAGCCTGTTCATGGAACACAGCTGTTCTGGAGACTATAAATTTGTTATTGTTATCAATGAATCTGTACCCTTTAGTACCGGTTTCATATCCCATAAATCTGAGTCTTCTGGATACATTTTCTCCCTTTCTTCTTAATTGTTTAGGTATGTGTACGTCTGCAGTGACTCCAAATATATGCATGTGTGCTAATTTTGGTTTTCTATTATACATCACTTCATATGGTGTCTTATTTACAATGCTGGACCATGTTCTATTTTGTGTGTAATTTGAATAATGTAAGGCTTCTGACCAGAATTGTTTGCTTAAGCCAGCATCTTCCAATGTGCATCTAATCATGGTTTGTAATGTGGAATTTTTCCTCTCTGCAATCCCGTTCTGGAACGCAGAAAATGGACTAGATGTGTAATGTAACATTCCTTTGTCTTTTAACCATTGGGAGAATTCTTTAGACATGAATTCGCATCCCCTATCTGTC